CTTCTGTGTCTGTATTTATTGGTTTCCCTTTTCTTTGTTGAAGAGGGTCTGTGCAATCCTTCTGCCTAGTCCGCCATCTTACCCCGCCTGGCTGCTTTTTCTTGCCGTGTGGACTTCCTCAATACAACTGCTCATGCCATCAAGCTAGCAGGGAGAATCTCTGAATTCAGGGAGAACTCTGTCCCTTTTTTAAGGCCCTTCACTTGATTATATCAGGCCTGTACAAGATAATCTCTGTTTTGATTAATTCAAAGTCAAACTGACTCGGAACATTTGCAAATTCCTTTCACCTTTCCCATGTTCTGTTGGCTGGAAGCACATCACATGTCTCATCCACACTCAAGGGAAGGGATTATATAAGAAGTCAACACCAGGGGGCAGGGAACATAGGGGCCATTTTAGAATTTTGCCTGCCACAGTCACATTTTTCTGTTACTTAAGGATTAATTTCATCTTTTGAGGTCTATTTTCAAGCTTAGCTAGGGACAGCTAAAGTAGTCTACTCAGGATACTTCAACCCTCCGGTTGCAGAGTAAACTTTCTGGAGTCTCCCTGAATACCCCAGGGGATCACCAAGAACTCTCTATTCTGACTGGTTGGAACTTGACTTTTTCTCTGCTTTCTGTGAGGTCTGAGACTTGTTCAGAATACATGTCCTCTGTAGTTTTTTGCTCAGCCTAATGGAGTTTGATTCTATGCATTCACAGACTTGCACACAGTAAAGTCTGAAGAGATTTCCATAAGTTTCTGGATCTTTTTTATTTTTAGTTTCTCTCTTTTTGTATCTTTGCTTCACAACTTCCAGCCACTTTGGCATTCCTAACCTTTGATCTTTATCTACTCAGTTTAGCTCTGTTACCCTGCTCTGTTTGGATTCTCCCTCCCTATAACTGTGCTCTGACATTGTATTCAGGCATTCAGGCTTGTGGGGTAAATTAGTGGACATAACTATCCAATTATTGGAAAAATGGAGATGGGAATTAAACTATTCTGGTATTTATGAAGGTTTTTGACTAAAGTGATTGAGTGATTGTAGGGTTCACTTCATTTCTTCTCCTTTCCTCAGGTAGTACAGTCATGTGCTGTCTGTTGGTCAGTGTCTAGAAAACAGTTATTTTGTACTTTTTTTTTTTTATGGTGGGAAGTTAGTTCCTATATGCTTGCTTCATGGTCAGAAGCAGAATGGAAATATCTATTTTGATTATAAAACCCTATTCTTAGTCTTAATGTAATTCATGTTACCCCTACTGGAGCTTTACTGTTGCTGACATCTATACATAATGGAAACACTGAGAAGATTCTAAATACCCTCTAATGTACAAATCCTTCACTCTAGTATCACTCTCAAGAGCATCTATTGGAGTAAAAATGTTGGATTCACAGAAGATTACTATTATTGCATAGGTTAATACCACAAAATAACTTTGTAATCTTAGGCATATGAGCTGAACATTTACATTAGGTACATACACTCCTTGGAGAGATCAATCATGAGAGAATAGAAGGGCTGTATATGCACAGGAAGACAGCTCGGGTGCAGGAGTGCATGGGAGGCAAGGACACAGGGAAGAGGTAACTATGGGGAGGAAGTGGGAAGAGAGCTGTTGCATTGTGGGAAATTGAAGTCAGTGTCATGAGACAAAGTATATGTGTACTGCTGTATGGAAAATGAATTTTCTCTGTAAACTTTCACCCATATCACAATAATTTTTTTTTTTTTTTTTTTTTTTAAATAACCTTGTAATCTTGATATGTATGATCTGGAACACTAAACAAATCACAGGATGTCAAGAATGCAACCAAAACAGGAATTTTTCTGTTGCCTTAATTATTGATCTCTAATGGTTTGTTGTTTTGGTTGCATTCTTGAGATCCTATGATTTGTGGAGTGTACCAGATCATACATATAAAGATCGCAAGGTTATTTTGTGGTATTAACCTATGTGGTAATAGTAATCTGTGGATCCAACATTTTTATTCAACTGATGTTCATGAGAGTGATACCAGAGTGAGGGATTTGTACTTTTTTTCTTTAGAATTGAGGTAGCTATTGAGATTTTTTGAGCAGGATGTCAGTGTGAATTGTGTATTTTAAGAGTTAATTTTACATAAGTGTGCTAGATATATTGGAGCAGGGAGAGGAAGAAATTAAGAAGGAGTCTAGTTAGGTAATTTTTGTAGCCCAGGTAAAACATAGAAAGGACTTATCAAGGTTAATGGCCATGAGATTAGAAAGAGGAGACCTCATATGAAGTGAATAAAAGAGGATGAAAAAATCAAGTGATAGTGAAGCTTTGGAGCTTGATTCTTAGACCATTAACTGAAAAGGGAGAGGGGCAATTGGTTTTGAGATACTTGTTTTGGACAGACTTGTTAAATTTAAGGGCTTGTGGGATACAAGTGCAGATATCATCCAATTATTGGAAAAATGGAGATGGGAGTTAGAATATTCTGGTATTTAGGAAGGTTTTTCACTAAAGATAGAGGAGAATGATTAATGTGTCTTGTGCTTAATACGTAGTGGGTGTTCATAACTTTTGAAATTAATTGATGAGGTACAGATCCATAGGATTTTTTTTTCTTCTATATTGCTTGCATATCCAGTAATTACCCTTTTATATAATTAAAAATGGAAGAATGTTTTACTTGATTTTTCAAGTTGCTTATGCTGTTCCAGAGTTAAGACTACATTTTTTTACTTTTTATTTAGGAGGTGAAGATAGAGAACTTGCTCAGAGGAGGAAAGAGAAATACAGACTAGAACTACTGGAACAAATGGCTGAGCAACAGAGGAACAAGAGACGGTAATGAAAGGTTTGCATTTCAAAAGGATGTTTTGAATTTAAGTTACATCTTATAAAATGCATTTGTGTATCATAACATGCTGTTAACTATTATGTAGTAAAATAAGGGCTGTTTTTCCTAATATGATTTTGGATTTGTAAATCACTTATATTTCAATTTCCACATTGTAAATCAGCCAGAGTTATAGAACAAATACTATGTTAAGGTTCTGTAGTGATACTGCCTCGGGAATGCAAGGAGGGGTTGTTATGAGTCAGGACCAACTCGATGGCACATAACAACGACGACAATGTTAAGGTTCATTTTCTTTGTCATAGGTAACAAATAAGACTGTATATATTTGATAAGAGGCCTTTTATATTGTTTCATTAACTTCCTCAATTTTCGATTGAGGGCTGAATTTAATGTTATCCATACCCTCTGCATTATCCCATATATAGTAACAAGTATAAAAGTATTTTATCTTTTTTTAGTCTAAAATGGTAAACACACATATATTGCAATATAAAAATAATCATGTGGTAAGTTCACAGATAGTTATATTGTATACAAGTTTCAGGGTAATCTTTTTTTTTAATATAATCTTTTGTAGGTATTTGTGAAATAGTAATTGTAAATTAAAATTAGGAGTAGAAATCTTGGTTCTAGAGAATTTGAACCAATCATCTTTTAGTTTTGCCTTTTTTCCTTTATCTTGGGGCAAGACAATGTATGCTGTTGGATATTAAATGTCTTTAACATGATTTTCTTAAAAACTCTTATTGGAAAGTATAGTATTTATATTTAATTTGTTACCTTTGTTTTTGCCAACTGAAAATATACACGTATCCTGTAAGAAGTTTTTTGTTGTTTTTTCACAAAGTAAAGGTTTTGTTTTATTTTTGCACTTGATGCTGTGTGAATTGTTTAGTCTCTGAAATATCCCAGACACTGGTTTAATGGTATACATTCCAAGTTAGTCACATGTGACTTCCAGGTGACTTTGCACTAAATCAAGGAGCTCTGGTAGTGCTGCAGTTAAAGCATTTGGCAGCTAACTAAAAGATCGGTGGTTTGAACCTACCAACCTCTCTGTGGTTGAAAGATGGGGCATTCTCTTCTGTAAAGATTTACTGCCTTGGAAACCCTATAGGGTAGTTCTCTGTCCTGTAGGGTTGCTATGAATCAGAATTGACTTGATGACAGTGGGTTGGGTTTGACTTTTTGGTTGCACTAAGTCAGTAAATTGTTTAAGAATTATTTAAGGCTTTATTGTCAAAGGAATTATTTATAGTTGGAAAGGTTATTGCATAGACTTTGTAAGTGAGTTTATTTCAATAATTGTTATTTTGGTATTGTTTACTATATATATTACTTTAATATATAAAACTTTAATTTTGTTTAGAGAAAAAGATTTGGAACTCAGCGTTGCAGCTTCTGGTGCACAAGACCCTGAGAAATCGGTGAGGGTTCATGGCATCTTTTAATATTTAATCTTTTGTTTAAATAACCCTCAAATGTGGTGATTAGGTGGAGATAGAGGATTTTGGAAAAACCGTTAAGAACAGTAATAAAATAAATGAAATTCAGTTCTTATAAAAAGTAAATGCTAACTCTTAGCTAAGGAGCTTTGGTGATGTAGCGGTAAAGGCATTTTTGGTTGATAACCAGAAGGTCAGTGGTTCAAACCCACCAGCTGCTCTGTGGAAGAATGATGAGGCAGTCTACTTCTGTAAAGATCTATAGCCTTGGAAATCCAATGGGGGGTCACTGTGAGTTGGAATTGACTCTATGACAGTAAGTTTGGTTTGGTTTTTAACTCTTACCTGTTCTTTGTTTCTCTAAGATATTTTTCATTTGAGTGTTATATTTTAATTTGTTTTAAATTGGTCCTTTATATTTTGTTCAAATGTACTATTTCATGGGAGAGGTATCTCAGTTTAATTTACAATAGAATTAATATTTTTCTTAAGTATACCTTTACACTTTTCTTATATCAGAGTGATTTCCAAGGAAATGGAAAGCTTTAATTCTAGTCTTTAAGCATTTTACTAATTTTCATTTAAAGTAAAGCTAGAAAGATAATAACCTATCTTTACTTTAATTTTGCAATTCTCATCATTAAGGGGAACAAATTACTCACAACATTGCAGTTAAATAAGGAGGAAGTAATAATTTATTGCTGTGATCAAAATGCAGTTTTTCTGTAGTTGGATATGTAGTAATTATTTGCTAAGGCAAGGTTTTTGCTTGATGTTTGAATGATAATTAAGAAGCTGTAATTAATTTCATTAAAGAGTTCATTTTCAAAAAGAATGCAGCATCTTACAATTATTCAACTGTAGACAACTCTTAGTTTTCTTGTAAATACACTCAATATTTATCTTCTGGGTTATCTGTTTAAAAAAGTTAACTACTATATTACCATCACTCCCAGTGAGCTTTGTACTGCTCATAAAATAAAACTTTTAGATGAACCTGAGAAATTAGTTTTGGGAAGATAAACATGGTAGGAAACTGATAAATTCCAAAGCTAAATATCTTCTGTCAATAAATACTTTCAAAGTACATTTGACAGTCAGAAACTTCCTTTAAATATCTTGAACTTTTTAATGTAATATGGTGGACATGTTAAATCTTGGAGTTGTAGATACTTTAATATTTGGTAGACCTTCTGATTATTTGTCGGTGAATAAAATCCCTTTGAGTTTTAAGTTACTTTATGACAATAAATAAATGAACTATAGTGACTTAATAGATTTTTGGGTTTATTTTTATGTGAAAATTTTAGTAAAGAACACATCTAGAGAATCTAGAATATAGAGCAGGAGTCAGCAAACTGTGGCCTGTGGCCAGATCTAGTTGCCACCTATTTTTGTAAATGAAGTTTTTTTGAAACACAGTCTTGCTTATTCGTTGACATGTTGTCTGTGGCTGCTTTCCAACTATAGCAGAGTTCAATAATTGTGAAGGGATCTTATGGTCTGCAAAGATATGTTTACTCACTGACCCTTCACAGAAAAAGTTTGCTGAGACCTGTTCTAGAGACTACAGTTGACCCTTGAACAACATGACTTTGAACTGCGCAAGTCCACTTAGACATGGATTTTTTTCAATAAGTATATTGGAAAATTTTTTTTTGAGAACTGCTACAGTTTGAAAATACTTGCAGATTAATAGAAAATCCTAGACATATAAAAAAAATTAAGAAAAAGACATGTCATAAATGTATAAAATATATGTAGATACTAGTCTCTTTTATCATTTGCTACCATAAAATATATACAAATCTATTATAAAAAGTTAAAATTTATCAAAACTTACGCACACAGACACTTACAGATATGTGCCATTTGCAGTCAAGAGACATGTAAAGAAACATAAAGAAGTTAAAATTTATCAAAACTTATGCAGACAGACACTTACAGATATGGTGCCATTTGTAGTCAAGAGAAATGTTAGCAAACATAAAAAGATGTATTAAATAGTAACTGCATAAAATTAATGGTAGTGCATATTATATTTCTGTAATAATTTAATAGCCACCTCCTATTGCTGTTATGGGAGCTCTGGTAGCATAGTGCCCAAGGCACTTGACTGCTAACCAGAAGCGTGGTGGTTCAAACCCACTAGCCACTCCTCGGAAGGAAGATGGGGCAATCTACTTCCATAGTGATACTGCCTCAGAAACCCACGGAGGGGTTGCTATGAGTCGGGCCCGACTTGACGGCACATAACAACAACAACAACAACAACAACAACAACTTTGCTTTTATAGGAGCTCTGGTGAAATAGTGCCTAAGGTATTTGACTGCTAACCAGAAGGCTGGCGGTTCTAACTCACCAGCCACTCCTCGGAAGGAAGGTTAGGTAATCTACTTCTGTAGTGATACTGCCTTGGAAACCTAAGGAAGAGTCGCTGTGAGTTGGGTTTGACTCAACGGCAGTGAGTTTGGTTTTTGGTTTATTGCTATTATGGTGAGCTCAAGTATTGTGAGAATCTGCTTAAACCACCATTGTGATACTAATCATCTCCATGTGAGCAGTTCGTCTTGCTAGTATATTATGAATTGCTGAAAAAAATGATCTTTTGCAGTTCTCATGTATTTTTCATCATGTTTAGTGCGATATCATAAACCTTGAGTAACACCTTAAGTCTCATATGAGGTGTTACTACTAATGTTGAAAATGTACTTAAGAAGCAGAGGAAAGTCATAACATTACCAGAAAAAGTTGAATTGATGTCTGCAGTTGTGGTTACCTACCATTTCAAGATAGATGAATCCAGTGTAAGGACCACTGTAAAAAAAAGAAAAGGAAATTCATGAAGCCATTGCTGTAGCTATACAAGCAGGTGCAAAAACCATGTACCTTTTGCTAAATACCTTTTTACCTCATACTGAATATGCACCTTTTATGAGGGTACAGGATTGTTAAAAGACAGGCATACCTATAGATTCTAATATGATTTGAGAAAAAAGAAAGTCATTATATGACAACTTAAAGCAAAAGGAAGGTGAAGGATCCAAGGCTGGAGAATTTAATGCCAGAAAAGGATGGTTTGATGATTTTAGAAAAAGGTTTGGCTTTAAAAATGTCAAGATACAGAAGCAGCAGCTTATGCAGACCAAGAGACAGCAGATGAATTCTCAGACATCATTAATAACTGAGGAGAAAGAATATCTGCCCTGAATGGGTTTTTAATACAGACAAAAATGCTCTATCCTGGAAAAAAAATGCTACACAGGACATTTATTAATAAGGAAGAAAAGTGAGTGCCAGGATTTAAGGCAGGAAAGGATAGACGAACTCTCCTATTTCGTGTAAATGCAGTTGGATTTATGATCAGGATTGCCCTTATCTACAAAGCTGCTAACCCCTGAGACAAAGAGAAAAGATAAGCACTGGCTGCTAGTCTTTTGGTTGTACAACAAAAAAGCCTGTTTGAGAACCCTTTTTCCAAATTGGTTCCTGAGGTTAGGAAGTACCTAGCCAGTAAGGGACTGACTTATTAAAAAAAAAAAAAAAAAAAAAATCCCAAGGTTTTATTTTTTAAATGATATTTTATTGTGTTTTTTGGTGAACGTTTACACAGCAAATTAGATTCCCATTTGAGAATTTCCATGCAAATTGTTCAGTGACAGTTATATTTTTCATAATGTGTGAACATTCTCTTTAATTGTGTTCTGGTCATTCCATTTCTGGTACCCTTGTTTTCCTGCCCCCTTGTCTTCTCATCTTTGCTTTAGAGTAATTATTGACCTTTTGGTTTCATATAGTTTTTTTTTTTTTTTTTTAATGGAGTACTGTACTCACAGGTAATATCCTTTGTTTTGTGTTCTCCTGTGTTATTTCTCTGTGACTTCAGGAGATAGTTTTGGTTCAGGGTTTAAGTTTAAAGAGTATCTTGGGGTTATAGTCTCAGGGAGTCCTGCTAGTCTCAACTGCTTCAGTAAGTCTGGACTTTTTTTTTTTTTTTTTTTTTAATGATGATTTGGGTGAAAGTTTATAAAACAAATTCATTTTCCATTCAACAGTTCATATATACATTTTGTTTCATGATGTTGATTGCTGTCCCCACAGTGTAACAGCTCTCTTCCCACTTCCTCCCTGTGGTTACCTTTTTCCTATTCCTTTCCTATGCATTTTTGCCCTCTGAGCTTTCTGCCTGCACAAGTAAGTACCCTTCTGCTCTTCCATGATTGACTGTTGTAAGGAGTGTATCTCCTTGGTGTAATTGTTCACTTCATTGGCCTGTCTATTGTTTGGCTGAAAGTTAAGACATGGGAGTAAGTCCAATTCCAGGCCTGAAGAGTTACTAGGGGCCATAGTCTCAGGAGTTCACCAGTCTCCATCAGACCACTAAGCCTGGTCTTTTTTGTGGTTTTGAGTTTTGTTCCACATTTTTCTCCCACTCTATCCATGATCTCCAATTTTGATCCTTTTTTGAGTGGTTGACAGTGGTAATCAGGCACCAACTAGCTCTTCTGATCTCAGGGCCATGTAGGCCGAGGTAGGGGACTGCCTTTTAAACTTCTTTTGATAGTAGGCATTGTCCTTGTCACCCAGAACCCCATGAGTTCAACAGCGAAGGTGTCAAAATGATCTACTTGCTCCCAAAACACAATGTCTTTAATCCAGCCTCTAGATCGGGAGTCATAAGGACTTTTATGACTAGTTACACAGTACTCTATGGAAAGGATTGTCAGTGCTATGGAAGAGAATCCTGATAGAGAGAACATCATAAAAGTCTGGAAAAATTATACCATTGTAGATGCCATTGTCTTTATAGAAAAGGCCACTTAAAGCCATGGAGCCCCAAACAATAAATACCTGCTAGAGAAAACTGTGTCCAGATGTTATGCATGACTTCATAGGATTTTGATAGAGCCAATCAAAGAGATCATGAAAGAGATTGTGGAAATGCCAAAAAAGGGTGAGGGTGAAGGGCTTCAAGATATGGATCTTGGAGAATTTCAAGAATTAATAGACACCGCACCAGAGGAATTAACAGAACATGACTTGTTGGAGATTAGTGCTTTTGAACCAGTGCTAGAAAACAAACTAGAGTTCCAATTATTTAAGAATGCTTTTGACTTCTTTTACAATATGGACACTTCTATGATATGGGCACTGAAACTAAAGCAAATGGTGGAAGAAGGAATGGTACTTTATAGAAACATTTTAGAGAAAAGTAAAAAGTTGGATGAATTATGATGTATTTCTGTAAAGTTACACTGAGTGTACCTGCCTCTCCTGCCTCCCCTCCTTAGCCTACTCAAGGTGAAGACAATGAGGATGAAAGACCTTTGTGATGATCCACTTCCACTTAATGAATAATAAATAATCATCACGCTGTACAGTTAATAAAGTTATCTGTTGTGTATGTGTGTAAGTATATTTGTGTGAAAATCTAATAACTGTACAGCAAGAACTGTGTTGACTGTTTATGTTGTCAGTACAGCTTCTGGTCAACAGTAGGCTATATTAGTCAAGTTTTTGGAGGGTCCAAAGCTACATGTACATATTCGACCATGTGGGAATTGGTGCCCCTAACTCCCGCTTGTTCATTGGTCAACTGTACTTTGGTAACAGAAATGGCAATTGGGTAGAGAAGTAGTATAGCATTATAGTATAATAGAAAGAGTACTGTCTTTAAAATTAATATCTAGCTCTAGTTGTTATTTGATTAGTTAGATGACCTTAGGTGATGGATGCACTTCTTGGGGAGCCCCAGTTACCTCATTTATAAAGTAAGGGTAAGTCCTTCAAAATCTTTTCTAGCTGTAAAATTCTGTTATTCTGTGAGTGACTTAAGTGCCTGCTGATAGTTTGGGACAAGAGGGTCTTTTGAGGTCCCTTCCACCTTTAAATTTCTGATTATATATAACAAACATTTTTTTTTTTTCTTTATTTTAGCCTGATAGACTAAAGCAGCTTAGTGTGACACCAAGACACTTTGAAGAGACGATACCACCTGAAAAACCCAGAGTAGCTTTCCAGACACCTCTCCCTCCTTTATCTACCTCATCTGTCCCACCCATTCCATCAGATCACTCCGTCCCTTCTCAATATGAAGATTTGCAGAAAGGACTCCACAGCACCCTTGGTGAAATGGTGCCACCCAGGTGCTTGTTTCTAATGTTCTGTGTTGGGGAACTAGGTAAGGTATTGCTAAATGTTTTGAAGAATATGCTGAGGCAGGTAACATTATCCTTCAGAGATTTTATGCACTTAACAGCTTTTGCCAATAATTTCTCCTCTTCTTTTCATTGTTGGTCTCTTCTTTGCTAATATAAAACCAGTGGAAGTCCTTATGACGTTCTTTTATTGTTTAAAGATGCTTTACTGTTTTCAGAATGAATGATTAAATACATTTTATTTTAGGTTTTGTTTTGGAATATGTATTTTTAATGGTTTTTAACACGTAAAAGCTATGTATTTTCTTCTATTTTGTAATTTCCACTTGGCAAACATTGAATTCTTTCTTCAGTTTATGCAGAAAAGTTTCTAATGTGACTCTTCAATACATGATTTTATTTTAGCTTCTGTTTCCTTTGACTCTTTCTCTGGATAACTTAGGTGCTATATAACTTAAATGCCCAAAATAAAAAGTGTTGAGATTATAAACCTGTAACTTAAGTATTATGGAAAAGATTAAATTCTGTAAATGAAAGGCATTGTATTAATGTTATCATTAAATTATCCATATATACATTATACATACAGAAAATCCTGTTGTTAACATTGATATGTTTTCTGAACTATACTTTCTTCTCTTAGTAGTACTTGGACTTATTTTTGCTTAATATTAATGCATTAATTATAGGAATGTATTTATTCATCAGTTTTTTTTTCCCATAGAATTTTTTAACATTGTGTTTTCTGGGCTATATGTTCTATTTTCAAAAGGACTTGGTCTTGTATTTTATTTTACTAACACATTCTTTGGACTGTATTTATCAGATCTTTTGCTTGTTTCATCTCATGTCTTCCCAAATAAAAATATAAGGAGGGATAGTGATTACAAAGCATGGTATATGATGGTTTTAGCACTGGAGTAGGGATCGAAACACTTGGCTTCACTATCTGGATTTTGGACAAGTCATACCTTTGTGGAACTTCAATTTTCTCATTTGTAAAAGTGGAATAGTAATATTTTTTCCTTGATTACAATTACGGGGTTGTTGTGGGGATTAAATCGTGTGTGTATATATATATAAAATGTGTACAAAAAAATGTAAGGTTTAAGGATGATGATCGTTCACTTTCATAGCAGTTATTCAACTGCATTGTTGATGTATCTTTCGGGTGAGGATAGGATAAAGTTAGAAACTGAGAGTAACTAGTTGATATGAAATGTACTACTAAAGAGAACTTTAATGTCTTCTTAGTCTTTCGGAATTATTTTGCAGTATATACCAAGGAGTAATCTTTTAAGATACCTCAAAAGTGGAAATATTCTAAAATGCTCTTTTTCTTTCTCCTTAGCTAAGGGAATTTGCCTTTTGCTACTTTTACTATTGGAAAATAATGCATCAGTGGAAATACAGATATATTTTCCTGAGCAGTAATGAAATGCTAACATAGTGGTTTTCAGAAGTTTTAGATTTATGAATACTAAAGATTATATTGAGATATTACTTCCTTTGAAAGAACAATACATTTTATACTTTAAAAGTACATCCTTTCCCTAGTCAGATGAAACCATTTGTGATCATGCTGTGTTGTAGCTCTTTGCCTTCTCTTCATGGACCAATCCCCTTCTCCTCTAGCTGTGTGACTAGCTCATTCTAGTAACTTGGCTTGAACCGTGTTTATTCCAGAAAGCCTTCCTTGTGTTTTCCTCCCTATGCAATTTAGATGTCCCTGCTCTGTGTTCCTATAGCATCCTACATCTAATTCTATTATTTCATTTACTATACCTTGCTGTAATTGTTTATTTCTATATTACTCCTGAGGGCTAGGAACTATATCTGTCTTTATTTGACACTGACACATAATGACTATTGGATATTAAGATTTCGTGTTAGATAAGTGTTGTAGCTGCAATTTTGAAGTTTCATACTATATTATTTACTTTTTGAGTCATACTTTTAGATGAAAGATTAGAGCGAAAGGGTGGCTTTTCTAAAGCAGCTATTGAACTTTCAGCAATGTTTTTGTAAAATAATAACATCTTGATTTTAAAAAAGGTATGCAATGAAATATGAGAAGAATTTTCCAATTTGCTTTTAATATAGAATTGCACCTCTGCCTCCACCTCCCCTGCTACCACCTTTGGCTTCTAACTATCGAACTCCTTATGATGATGCATACTACTTTTATGGGGCCAGGAATCCTTTGGATCCCAGTCTTGCTTACTGTAAGTTATCTAAAGAGTAGTACTTTTTCCAGTGGTTCAATCTGGAAAATTGCTTTTTGTGCAAGCAAAAACATAAGTGAGAAAAGCATAACTTCTTTTAATTCATATATTACATATTTATGACTTAATAAACACCCTATTTTAAAACCTAGTTATATTTCACGGTTAATTCCTGTTCACCCTGATTTTAAAATAACTACTCTTTGTGTTCTTATGTTGTTCTTTGTTAATTCCTAACTCAGAAGGAAATATTGATGCTTTTCTATAGGTAACATTTTCATTATATGCCTTTTACTATAGGGATAAATAAAGTGTTATTAAATGGGTACCCTGAAATAATTTTTTTTTCCTTTAAAGATGGTTCAGGAATGGTAGGAGTACAACCTGCAGCATATGTCAGTGCGCCTGTCACCCACCAGCCAGCACAACCTGTTGTGTAAGTCGTTAGTTAAAATAATAATTTATTTAAAGAATTATTTGTCTTTCATAGAACCTGTATTATTAAACTCATTCTTTTTTCTTCAGAACAGATGTAACTTGTTTTAATTTCTGGTGATTACATAACCATTTCAAAACATTTTCTTTTAAATGTTAAAAGCATTGCTTTAAAGTCGATATATCATAGAGAGTGAATTTTACAAATTAAGAAAAATCTTATTTTTCTCATTATTAAAGCCATGTATGCAATTCTTAACAAATTAGAATACAAATAAGAAAAAAAAAAACAAAAACAAAGAATCACTTAAAATCTCATTAAACCAGAGTTAGTCATATCCATACACATTTTCAAGAAGTCTTTCTGTGTATAACATGTATACACATTCAACAAAAATATACATGCAATACACACAAAATTAGTATTGCATATATTGTTCTGTAACCTGTTAAAAAATTAACAATATATTATAAACATTTTTTCAATATCAGTAAATATATAGCATCAGTTTTTTAAAAATTAAATGCTTTGTTTTGAGATAATTGTTATTCACAAATAGGTATAAGAAATTATACAAAGAGATCATTTGTACCTTGTGGCCAGTTTCCCCCAAGGGTACCATTTTGCAGAATACAGTATGCAACATCAGGATATTGACATAAATACATTTATGATACAGAAAGTACATTAACATCTCCACAAGGATTCTCATGATACTATTTTATAGCCACACTTAGTTCCCTTCTGTCCTGAATTCCTTCTTAACTACTGGCAACCACTAATCTGTTCTCTATTCCTATAATGCTGTCATTTTAACAATGCTACATAAATGGAATCATGAAATATATAACTTTTTAGGATTGGCCTTTGTTTACTCAGCAAATTCTCTGGAGATTCATCTAGATTGTTGCATGTGTTAATAGCTTGTTCCTCCTTATGGCTGAGTAGTATTCACAGTGGTGATGCACCACAGTTTAACCATTTACCTGTTGCAGGATATCTGGTTGTTCCCAGCTTGGGGCTATTTTGAACATTCAACTACGTTTTTTTTTTTTGTGTGTGTGAACATAAGTCTTTGTTTCTTTAGGGTAAATGTCTGTGAGTTTAATTGTTTGCTTGTACATGTTTAATTTTTTTTTTTTAAAGAAACGGCAAATTATGGAAACTTCACTGTCTTCACATCCTTGTCAACATTTGGTGTTTAGTTTCCAAATGTTTAAAGACTTGCCTGGTTTAAATTTTTTTATTTTTCAGGTGTGTTTTGTGTCTCAGAATATGGTCTCTTTTGGTATCTGTTCATTGGGCACTTGAAAAGAGTGTGTTTTCTGTTGTTACTGAGTGGAATGTTCCTTCTGTGTTGAGTAGAATCTTTTTGGTTAATGGTGATATTGTGTTCTTCTATATCTTTGCTGACTTTCTGTCTAGTTGTTCTGTCAGTTGTTGACAGAGGAGTAGTGTTATGGACTTTTCCATTTCTCCTTTTAAGTTTTATCAGTTTGTTATTTTACAACTTTGTTGTTTGTTTCATACACATATAAGCAGCTGAGTAGCTGCTTTGGATATGTGGTCTGCTTCCCCTATATAAGAAGCAGCTTTGGGAATGGTTTCTAGTTTATGGCATGCTTGGACCCTGCATGTATCCATGTCGTTGTTCAGCAGCCTGCCATGCTGTGATGACCTTGGGGCTTACAATGGACTTGAATTAATGGCCTGCTGTGTGGTTTGGTAACATCAGGACTGTGCCATTTTATTTGTCGACCTTGGGCTTGTTAGCTTCAGCAGCCAATAGCTGCCTGAGTAAAGAGATGCCTCTAGCTTCAGTGGAGCAGAAGCAAGAGGCAGAGCTGGACCACAAGGTTGAGGGGCTTTCACCCAGCCCCTAGAGCCTGGCACTTTGAACTCGGACTTCTAGCCTCCTGAACTATAAGAGAGTAAACTCCTGTTTGAAAGGCCATCCCATTTGTGGTATATTCTTGTGAGTGGCACTAGGTAACCAGAACAGTGAGTTGACCCATTTATCATTGTGTAGTGTCCCACTCTTTCTCTGGTAATTTTCTTTATTTTATAGTTTACATATCTGATACTAATATAGCCATTCCTGGTTTTCTTTAATTGATGTTTTTGCTCTCAACCAGCCTATGTCATTATATTTGAAGTAAGTTTTTGTAAATAGTGTATAATGAAATCGTGTTTTCAAGTCCAGTCTGCTAGGTGTTGTCTTAATTGGTGTATTTAGACCATTTATATTTAATGCAGTTATTGTTATGTCAGGGCCTGAATTTGTCATTTTATTTTTATTCTTGCTTGTTGTTTTTCATTTCTTTGTTTTCTTTTCCTTCTGGTGGGTGACTTGAACATTTTCTGTAATTCCAATTTGATTTACCTATAGTGTTTTTTGGGAGTCCTTGGGTAGTATAAATAGTTAACATGCTTGGCTGCTAATGAAAAGTTTATAGGTTCAAGTCCACTTTCTACCTCGGAAGAAAGTTCTGGCGATTTACTTGGAAAATCAGCCATTGAAAACCCTATGGAGTACAGTTCTACTCTTAAACACATGGGTTTGCCATGAGTCAGAATCAACAATGGCACTGGTTTTTATAGTGTTTTTGAGTGTATTTCTTTTTATGGCTTTATAAGTTGTTGCTCAAGGTATTACATTATACAAAAGTTACCAATGTTGCCATTTTATCAGTTTGAGTGAAGATAGAAACTTTCTTTGTCCCTTTACCCTCCCCTATTTATTATATGGGGCTACTTCTGTAAAGGTTTACCCCCTCAGAAACCCAGTAGGGGTCACTATGAGTCGGAATCAACTTGATGACAGTGGGTTTTTTATTTATTATTTAATTGTCTTAAATGTGATTTAGAACCACATAACAAGTGTTACAGTTTTGCTTCAATTGTCAAACATAATTTAGAAAATTTGAGTTTTATGTCCCAATATTACTACTTACCATCCACCACTCATCTGTCAGTTTGTCATACTGTGGTGGCTTATGTTGCTATGAGGCTGGAGGCTAAGCCACTAGTATTTCAAATGCCAGCAAGGTCACCCATGGTGGACAGGTTTTTGAATCAGACAGCCATTTTGAATAAGAGAAGCATATGCTCTACTATGCTGGGAATGGCAAATTGAAGAGGAATGGCATGGCATTCATTGTCACAAAAAACATTTCAAGATCTAGCCTGAAGAACAATTCTGTCAGTGATAGGATAATATCCATATGCCTACAAGGAGGACCAACTGGATACTACTATTATTCAAATTAATGCATCAACCACCAAGGCCAAAGATGAAATGAAGATTTTTTTGACCAATATAAAAACTTATTATTACTGGTAATTGGAATGTAAAAGTTGGAAATAAAGAAGAATCACAGGTACTTGGAAAGTATGGCCTTGGTGATAGGAATGATGCCAGTGATCACACAATAGAATTTTGCAAGGTGAACAACTTATTCATTGCAAATACCTTGTTTTCAACAACATAAATGGTGCCTATACATGTGGATCTCACCAAATGGAATACACAGGAATGAGACTGACTACATCTCTGGAAAGAGATGATGGAGCTCAGTATCTTTAGCCAAAACAAGGCCAGGAACTGACTGTGGAACAGACCATAATTGCTCATATGCAAGTTCAAATTGAGGCTGAAGACAATTAAAACAAGTCCATGAGAGCCAAAATATGACCTTGATTATATCCCATCTGAATCTAGAGACCATCTGAAGAACAGATTTGATGCATTGAATACCAGTGACCAAAAAACAGACAAGTGGTGGGATGACATCAAGAACATCATCCATGAAGAAAGCAAAAGGTCATTAAAAAAACAGGAAAGGAAGAAAAGACCAAAATAGATGTCAGAAGAGACTCTGAAACATGCTCTTGAACAGAGAGTAGTGAAAGCAAATGGAAGAAATGATAAGATAAAAGAGCTGAACAGAAGATTTCAAAGAGCAGCTTGAGAAGACAGAGTCACTTACTATAATGAATTGTGCAAAGACTTGGAGTTAGAAAACCAAGAGGGAAGGAAGTGCCCAGCATTTCTCAAGGTGAAAAAACTGAGGAAAAAATTCAAGCCTTGAGTTGCAACATTGAAAGATCGTATGGACAAAATATTGAATGATGCAGGAAACATCAAAAGAAGATGCAATGACGTGGATCAACATAATGAAAACATTATGCTAAGTGAAAGAAATCAGAACCAAAGGGCACACATTACATGATTCTATTTATACATAATGTCCAGAGAGGCAAATCCAGAGAGACGGAAAGAAATTTACTGGTTGTCAGGGATCCGGGAACAGGGGAATGACTATTAATGCATATGGGGGCATCTTTTGGAGTGATTAAAATGTTCAAAAATTAAGAATAATGGCTGCACAACTTTGTGAATACACTGAAAACCACTGAAAGAATGAATTTTATGGCTTGTAAATTATATCTCAATAAAGCTATCATTTAAAACAAAACAAAACAAAAAAAAGAAGATGGAAAGAATACACAGAATCACTATACCAAAAAGAATTGGTCAGTGTTCATCTATTTCAGGAGGTGGCATATGATCAAGAACCAATGGTACTGAAAGAAGAAGTCAAAACTGCACTGAAGGGATTGGCAAAAAAAAAGAAAAAAAAAATGCTCTTGGAATTGATGGACTGCCCATTGAAATGTTTCAGCAAATGAATGCTGTGCTGGAGGCACTGACTCATCTGTGCCAAGAAATTTGGAAGACAGCTCCTTGGCTAACTGAGTGGAAGATATTTATACCCATTTCAAAGAAAAATGATCCAACAGAATATAGAAATTATCAAACAACATCATTAATATCACACACAAGTAAAATTTTGCTGAAGATAATTCATAAATGGTTGTAGCAGTGTATTGACAGGTGATTTCCAGAAATGCAAGTGGGATTCAATAGAGAACATGCAGTGCGGGATATCATTGCTGATGTTGGATGGATCTTGGCTGAAAGCAAAGAATACCAGAAA